ATGTTACACTCATCAATAGCTTTCATTTGAGTACCTACATCAATTTTTCATATATTTATATATATTATATATATGTATATATGAAAAATATATCAAAAATGCATGTGGGTACTCAAATGAAAGCTCTTGAAGAGTACAACATTAAAATGTGCTTATATTTAAAAAAAAATATCAATATTTAAGAAAATACAGTGGAATTTAGCAAAAGTCATAATTTAATTACACAAAATTTTATTTATTTATAGTTCACTATAAGCAGTCACGTAGTAACTGCAAGTTTGCTAGTTAATTATTAAAAAAAAAATTTTTTGAATAATCAATAATTATTAAAAGCAGCTAACAGTCTTCTTAATTATTAAAAGTGGAAAAATTAATAGAATTAATTTTTTTTTTTTTTTTATAACATTACTCTAATAATTTTACTATTTTACACTACGCCATTTACAAGAGACTCACGTATAATATTAATTATTATCATCTACATTTTATCAATGAAATCGCACTAAATCCGCATTTTAATTACTGAAAAAACAATAAAAAAATTTTTTATGAGAATTAAATTTAAAAAAAAAAAATTTTTAAACAAAATACGGATTTAGCGCACTTACTCGTTATTAAGTAGAATTTGATAGTTCTCTGTTAACTATACACAGAATTGCTCAATTCCTAGTTTTATATACATTAAGTATTAAGTATAATAATTAATAAAAAAATAATTAAAAAAACTTATAAAAATTATTGCTGAATTATTTTCAATTCCAAAAAATTTTAAAGATATAATTATTGTAAATGATAAGCGTTTTTTTTTTTTATCAGTAAGTATTAGAAAATTTTTTTACAGATTTTTTTTTAAGGTCCAGTGGCCGGTTCCTTGCGACCAGTAAATGAAACTATGCTCCTGATGCCTTTTACAGAAGCCTAAAATTTAAAAGCAAACCGAAGAATCTTCATTTAATTAGGTATTCAAATATAATTACTGAAAATTATAAAAAATTTGGTAATTAGTTTTATAATAAAATAAATGAGTATTTATTTCCTTCAACTAAAAAAAAAAGAAGTCATCTACTTACATGTTTTAAATGCAAAAACTGTTAAGACTCTAGCAATTCACATACACTCTTCATAAATACCATGCGCAGTAGATTACAAATTATAAATAAGACGATAATAAATATAAGTACAACTGATGTCGCAAGCCGTACCTACTGTTTCCTTAAACTTTACTTCCTATATTCCCGTCGTGTAGGTTTACGTCAAACTAGATTTCACTGGTATATGATGCTAACTGATAAATTATTGTATTTAAACTAGTTAACGTCATCTGTAAAAATTAAAAAAAATTATTAGTGAAAATTTTTTGAAGATTTTTTGGTTGTAAATGATTTACAATACTGTTATCATATTACATTTATAGCGGCTGCTTATTTCTCGTCGTCACTTTATTAATTTCCGCAATGACTAATGCCTATTATTGAAAATGATTTATAGTATTTCGGCACTTTCTAAAAGAAGATAAATAAATTTTATTTTTTTATTTTATAATTATAAAGCAATATAAATAAAGATAATATCTATTGATGATATCTCTAAAAGCATTGATAGAAATCTTGATAAGATATCTTGACGATAACATCATTTCACACGATCTGGTTCACTTTGTAATTACAGCCGTCAACTTATTTTCAATCTGAATCGTCATAAATATTTTTTTATTTTTTTCTTAAAAAAAAAAATTATGTATTACGCGATTAAAATCGCAAAATTGGTGCTTGCAATAATTTTTATAAACTATATTGCACTTAATGTTAATGGTAAGTTTTTATAGGATGCTAAGTAATAAAATACAATGAAAGAAAAAATTTATTTAAAAAAAAAATTAACAATTTCTTAATAGTAAATTTATTTATTTAAAATTTTTATTTTATTTTTTTTAAAATAAAGTTTCTCAATAATTCTACTCAATTTTTTTTTTTAAATAAACAGAAGCTTTTTTTGAAGCAGCATGTACTATTGTCGAGGTCTTTGGACTCTTTTTGGTCTTGGGCGACTTGATCGTTGTTGTAGTTGCTGGAGCTGTTGTTTATATCTTGCTCTTCTTCTTAGCTCGTCCAAGTATCTGGCGACTCCTTGGAGCCACCAGTACTTTTCGTTCAATCTTTCTAAACTGTTTTGGTCCCGTTCTGGTAGTGTCGTTGAATATACTACGGAATTAACAGGGATGTTTTCCATATCAATATATATGTTCTTTCTCGCGCAATGTCTTCGCAGATGATAAATGATCGGCACGTTGTTCTCGTCTTGGATGCAGCCCATTCGATCCAAATTTGTGAATATTTCAGGTGGTGAGCAGTTACTCTTCGCCATTCTTCTTACCATTTTATCATTGTCGACTTTGAGGCTTTTTATCATGTCGTTATTAATGTCATACAGAGAGCTGAAGTAGTTACGGGTTAGTGTTAAACAGAAGGTGTCGAATCTTGGAATATTAGCTAGATTGTAAATTTCACTATTGCTTATGAGTTTAAGATAGTTTGAGTGGGCTGAGCGATATCTACCAAGACAGGCTTTTAGACATGAGCGTTCGAATTTTCTGTACTTTTCCATGACAGAAGGGCCTACGTTCCACCAAATGGGTGCTGCGTACGAGATAATTGGTCTTACCAGGAGTTGGTAACAAATCAGTTTTGCCTTAGGGTCAATATTTCTATTGTAGAAAATTCTTGAGTTGGCTCTAAAGGCTTTTTTGGCTTTTTGAAGCTGTATTGCGTGGTGTTTATTTAGTCGTAATAGATAATCGAAGTGGACTCCAAGGTACTTCACTACATTCTTATTTGGAATTGGAAATTCTTCGCCGGTATATATCTCTGTCGGTTACAGTAATTTGAAATGTTTTAATTAAATTTGACGGTGGGTGGTGTAATTTCATTCACTGTTTTTCTGAACAAAATAGCTTCGTTTTTATCTGGATTCATTTTTAAATTCCATTGTTTAAAACAATGGTATTTTTCATTTACGATTGTTGTTAGTTTCTCTTGAATGATTTGTATCTTGCTATCAGCTACGTACTCGGTCTCGTCATCTGCGTAGGCTCCAGAATAAGTGTTATTCCCTGAGTTCAGTCCGAATTTATTCAGAATGGTACCTACTGGTGAATATGATAAATAATGCAGGGGAAGTTACCGTCCCTTGCTGAAGCCCTTCTAGTATGTTAAATACCAAAGTTGAAAAGTTGATTCCATCCCAGGTTATAAAAGATTTTCCGTGGATCATATCATAAATAAGAAGAATCAACTTGGTTGGAAAATTTAGTATAATTAATACATAGATGAGTCCGTTCAACCAGACCGAGTCGAAGGCCTTTTCAAGATCAATTAAGAGATGCCTATTGATGTCGGAAGAAAATTTGTTGATAGCGTGGACGGTGGAGTGACGCGCTCTAAAACCAAACTGATTGTCCGGTATGATTTTGTTTTCATCAGCACGTGTCATAAGTTGATCTTTGATGAGTTTTTCAAAAATTTTACTTAAGTTGGTTGTTAGGCTAATGGGTCTATAGCTTTTGTTCTTTTTCTTTATCGGTATAACTTTTGCTCTTTTTCATCTAGTTGGATAATAGGAGAAATTCAAACAGTTATATTGGGATGTTATCCAGTCCAGATGATGTCTTGTTTTTTGCCTTTTTCAATAATACAGCTACTTGAATGTAAGAGTAGAGGTATTTTGGAGTATCCTGCTCTTGAGTAGGGTAGTATGCCGGATTGTTTTTGGCAAAGTTTGTATGTGAGAAGTTGTATGTTCGGAAGCTCTGCAATCTTGATTTTATGTCGTCAGCTGCATTATCTGCTAGATGTTTTATATGAGTTCCCTGGTTCGTGTGCCTAGGTGAATTAATTAACTCAAAGTATTTCCCGACTATATTTAATTTCACTGTAGGTTCAGTTATAAATAGTGTGTCATTGTTTTCTTCTGGAGTAGTATTGTTTAAAATCTTAGAGTTGATGAGTGTGTTATCATTTTTACAGACTTTCAGTGTATCGATCCTAGGTGGTTCTTTGTAATGGAAATGTCTATTAATATTAGAAAAGAACTTGGATGAATCTTTATAATTGATATTTTTAGCCAAGGCTTCCCAATAAGCAGTTTCAGACTTTTTAAATTCGGAAGATAATTTTTTATTGATGTTTTTTTATGAGAGTCTTGATGTGTTCTGTATTATTATTGCACTTAAAAAGTTCAGCAACTAGGATAGATTTATGTTTGTGTAGTTTTTTGATTTTAGAATTTACGTATTTTTGGCAACCTCTTTTAGTGTCTTTTCTTGATTCTTGGGACTGTGAATTCGATGGCTTCTAATATTTGCTCTTCTAATTTTAATATCTTGTCATCAATTTCTTTAATTGTTAGATTTCTGTCATATGGAAGATGTTCTGTGACCGTGTTTTGTCGAGATGTTCTGCAAATTTGGTCCAGTTTGTTTCACTTATAATTGTATCTAACCATTGGTGTTATAGGATCTGTTAGTCCGAGAAGAATATCCTGGCAGTCCTAAGAAATAAAATTATTTAAGAATATCCTGGCAGTCCTAAGAAATAAAATTATTTAAGATTTTAAATAAATTAATTAAAGTAACATTAATTTTCTACAGGCTTAGAATGTTACGTATGTGAATCAAAATCAAGTTCAGCGGATTACTGTGTAAAAATCCACGACAGCTTCAAAACCTACTGTCCAAAAAAATACTGTATAATTTTTCGCAAGGAGTTGCGGGATATTTACGAAGGGAACAATCAGTTGTATTATATGAATCGTTCGTGTTCCGACCGAAAAATGCTCCCAGAAGAAATAATTTTGACTGACAGCCAAGTCAGAGTATTCAATACCGATAATTTCAGAAGCAACAGTATTGTAGTTATTACAGATGAGTTTCAATATTACTTTCAAAGTTGTGAAAGCGATCTTTGTAATAATGGCGACGGTGTCGAGTCATCAGACAATGACGCTAAGTCAAAAGTACTTATTGTCCCGGGTCTAGGTTCTAGAAATTTAGCTTCTGGAATATCTAGTTCCAATTATTTTATTTTTATAGCTTGTATTTTTATTGTAACCAATAAATTTATAAGTTTTTCATAAAATTCGTATTATATTTATTTATTATGTAAAATTATTTTGAAAAAAAAAAAAATTAATTTAAATCAAGAAAATAATTCTAAAGAAAATTTTTTTGCAAGAATTTTTTTTTTCAATTTAAATTAATTATTAAATTTTTTTTTACTTATAGAATATTTATTAAGTATTACTTCGTCTTAAATTTAATTATTTTTAATTAAAAAAAAAAAAATATTTTATGAGATTATAAATTTTTCATACTTTTAAGTAAGTATATTTTTTTTTTCTATTATTTAAAAATATTTAAAACTTTTTAAAATTTCCCGCGCCGCATTTGTCATGCGCAGTAAGAAATAAACATCAGCTGACGATGTTTATCATTATTTAAATATGGCGTTTATTATTTTCGGTCAATCGTTCACTGGTTATTAACATACGTCATACTTATTACGTCTTTTCGCGTTATATTAATATTTTGTGTCTTTGCATCAGACGTTTTTGTATTTTAATATTGATATATATTTAGTAAAAACAAATCGGTAAGTTTCAATTATTTATCCAATATCAACCTTTCATTTATTTTTTTTTAACAATTAAAAATACACAATTATTATCTAAGAATGATTGTAAATTACGTTCAATTTATGTTGTAGTAAATATCAACGAAAATAAACAATGGAGACTGCACAAAGATCAGAACAGCATGATGAATGGAAAAATAGAGTAAGTTTATTATTATTATTATTATTATTATCATTATTAGTATTACTATTATTGTTGTGATTATTACTATTATTTAAAACATTTAAAACTGTCAAGTGCTAATAACAATAATAATAATAATAATAATGAGTAAATTTTACAAATTATTATTGTTGTTATTATTTACAAAACTGAAATCAGCTGACACTTGTTAATTTTTGAAATTTTTATAATTAATAATAATAATTATTTATTATTTTTATCAACCGTAATTTTACGGCATCCGTTTGGCTTGAATTAAGATTCACTAGTAACTAGATCGCAAGGCGATAGAACTTTAATATATAATAATAATTATTTTTTTTTTTATAATTTAGTGTCTATTGATTTATGACACTAAAGTTAGCAGATGTCTAAAAATTTTTAATTTTTAACTTCCCGCTAAAAATCTCAGATTTTCAAAAATCGGGAAGTTATTGTTTTTACCCCGTTTTACAAAAATCGAGTTTTCATCAGATCTCGACGTTTGAAGGTCACAGGAAGCTTCCCTGACTATCCCCGCGAGGTTGTCACTATGTCTGTATGTATGTGTGTGTGTGTGTAAGTATGTGAATCGCTTATAACTTTTGAACGGTTGAACCGATTTCATCGCGGTTGGTGGCATTCGAAAGGGCTTCGCCAAACTTAGATTTCCTGAGAATTTGAACCGATTCGGACCGATAGATTTTGAGAAATTTTGAAAAATCTCAAAAAAAATAAGAAAAAAATCATTTTTGAAAGTGGTTTTTTTGGAATATCTTCGTTGGAATATATTCGTTCGAGAGATAGGCAGGAGTGACTGTGGCTCTTGTGGTAATAGCGAGCCGCGTAAAAAGAGAGATCTCTGAATTTTTCGCGCATTGCGTAAGCAACCCGTTAGAAACTTTTGGAGATCACCACAGTTAAGCAAGTAGCACCCTCCTCGTGGGTCCTGTCGTGAGTAGGTCGCGTGCCACCTAGGCATGTTACTGAAACCAACCTAGCTACCTCTCCCTGATTAAAAATATTGATTGAAAAGTATTGGGAATCAGTCACCCCATGTAAACTGTATATCTATATATACATGAAAAAGAATTGAAAGTATTCAAATTTCATCATTTTTAATCCTTTTCAATCAATATTTTTAACCAGGGCTGCGAAAACAGAACCCAAGAGCGAGGCCTCGAGTCGTTGTCAATTCTTTGGCAACGCAGGTAAGCTCAAAGATTCGGGGACTAGATTAGACAGAAACACGAACGAGACTTTTGAAAGGGGGAATGGCTCATACAGGTCTTACGGCTACACCTCCCCGCATGGGCCCCGCTGGTAACTGGTCGGGTTGTCATTATATTACCGATCAGGCCAACGTAGTCGTTGAATCGGGTTGAAACAGTTGACTGATTACGAGGACAGATTGACATTAAATTCAACTCAATTCACATCTGTCCAGTGATAGCGTAAAAGCTGGAGGGCAGGGTTTTTCCTTGCTCAGCGAGTTGACGGTGCTTTTGTTTGGTGAGATTTGGGTTTTATTTTACGTGCGTCTATAGCTTTTTAAAGCCCAGGAAACGGCCTGTTCGAAAGGAGGCAGACGAAAGTCTCACCAAATAACTCGTTCGAGAGATATCGTGAACGAAAGAAAACCTAAAAAAGTGTTTTTTCGGAATTACTCTGAAATTTTTGGTTCGATCAATTAAAACCTCAAAATGACCTTTGAGGATGATAAAACTGCGTTGAATTCCGCCAACCGCGTGAAAATCGGTTGATCCATTCAAAAGTTATTGCGATTTGAAAATTAAAAAAAAAAGTGTTTTATCAAACTTCTACCAAACTTTTGAGCTCAAAAGCATACAAAAGCTATTTTTTGAGCTCGGAGAGCTCAAAATAATACACAAATTGTATTTATGAGCTCGAAGAGCTCTAAAACGTTATAAAACGAAGTTGTGCAGGGATGGCCTTTAGGGTGAACCGTTTTTCTAATTTTTTTTTTTTAATAAATTACAACTAAAAAGATATTTATAAAAAATTGCACTTGTAGTTTTTTAAGTTTTTTACATGTGACAATTTTTTTTTTAATTGTTTAATTGAAATTTTTTCAATAAAAACATTTCTAAAAATTTTTGAAAAGTTAGCAGATGTCTAAAAATTTTTGATTTATTTTTATTAATTAAATTACAACTAAAAAAATATTTCTAAAAAATTGCACTTGTAATTTTTTAAGTTTTTCACATGTGACAATTTTTTTTTTAATTGTTTAATTAAAATTTTTTTAATAAAAACATTTCTAAAAATTTTGAAATGTCAGCTAACTTCATTTTTATATTGATTTTAGTGTAATTAATAATATTGAAAGACGGGTAATTGACAATTCTTTGGGTTTAATTTAACAACTAAATTAGTTCTAAAAAATTATTTTAAAAAATTGCATTTACAGTTTTTTACAATTTCTAGATATGATATTTTTTTTTTTTTTATTTTTTTCATCATTTATTCTTTAGAAAAAAAATCCTGAAAATTACCAAATGTCTGTCATAATTATTTTTTTTTTATTGAAAATAATTATTCTTTTTTTTAATTATTCACAGTCTTTTTTGGGACCATTACCACAAAGTTTTTTACGACTAGAAGACACATTGAATCCTCAGCATCAACAAGAAGCCGCTGATAGACAAGCTGCATTAGCTTTGCAACAATTACAAGGCGGTGTTGTACCAACAATGGATCCAAGAGTTGGAAGACTTAGTATTACTATCGTACAGGTAATTATTATCATTAATTTTATTGTTTTCAATTTATATTCTTTAATTTTGTTGTATTTAATTTATAATTTATAATTTTAATCATTAATTTACAGTAGCAATTTTTAATAACAGTAATTTACTATTTAATGAAACTCATTTCAATTTCCTGCAATTAGAATTAAATCAATAATTTTAAACATGTCATTTGAAGCCTTACAAACTTCCGTGTGCTGAAAAAATTATTAAATTGCTTTATAATCAATAATTTACAACTTCTACTAGTCATAATAATTTATTTTTTTTTTTTTTTTTTTTTTTCCAACAGGCGAAATTAGTCAAAAATTATGGAATGACAAGAATGGATCCTTATGTACGTTTAAGAGTTGGCCATTCAATTTACGAAACCCAAACTGCGTCTAACGGAGGAAAAAATCCACATTGGAATAAAGTTATACAATGGTATAATTCATTTTTTAATTTAATTTTCTATAAATTATAATTGAAATTAAATTTGCAGTTGGATACCTCCTGGAGTAAATCAAATTTACGTTGAAATTTATGACGAGTGCTCGTTTACAATGGACGAATTAATTGCCTGGGGACATATTGAAATACCTGCATCTGTGTTACAACGTGGAGAGACACACGAAGATTGGTATATGTTAAGCGGTAAACAAGGTGATAATCAAGAGGGCATGATTAATCTTGTCTTCAGCTATTCGGTAATATATATTTTATTCTATTTTAATTTTATTGTTAATAATTAGTCTTTTAAAAATATTTTATAATTTATTTTAAATTTTAGAATAAAGCAGGTCCTTATATAAATGGACCTCCAGTAGTTATGGTACCATCAGCAACGTCTAATTTAATGTTTGGAATGCCTGGATACGCTCCAGTTAATGTTTATACTGCACCACCAGCTGCTCCTGTTGCACCTATTCCAAGTTCATTACCACAAGCTGAAGAAGAACTTAAACAGGTTATTATTATTGTTATTATCTATATTATTAAGAGAATAAGAAAAATTTTCTTGATTTGCATTTGTGCTATATCTCTAGGTACATAATTAAGAAATGACCTTGTATCTTGTCAACTATTGACATTTTTAAAGATATAAGCTCATCCCGATGTTACGCTCATCGAGACCTTTCATTTGAGTACCCACATCAATTTTTCATATATTTTATATATTTATATATTTCACAAATACCATATATATAAAATATATGAAAAATGCCATGTGGGTACTTAAATGAAAGGTCTCGATAAGTGTAACATAGAAATGAGTTTATATCTTAAAAAATTACAATAATTAAGAAATTACATTGTATCTTGTGATCTATTGACATTTTTAAAGATATAAGCTCATACTGATGTTACACTCATCGAGACCTTTCATTTGAGTACCCACATCAATTTTTTATATATTTATATATATTATATATATTTATATATGAAAAATATATAAAAATGCATGTGGGTACTCAAATGAAAGCTCTTGATTAGTGTAACATCGGGATGAGCTTATATCTTTAAAAACGTAAATATTTAAGAAAGTACAGTGCAATTTAACAAAAGTTATTATTTAATGAAGCAAAATTTAATTTATTTATAATTCACAAGTTATTATTATTATTATTATTAATAATATTTTGATCATATAAAAATTTTTAAATCTTAAACAATAATTAATGTTCTATTTTTGTTATTATTATTATCATTATTATTGATATTTAATAATTAAAAAATTATTAATTATTTTTAGATTGCCGAAATGTTTCCAAATATGGACAAAGAAGTAATAAAATCATTCTACGACGCCAACAATGGAAAAAAAGACGTAATTATTAACTCATTGCTACAAATGACAGAGTAATTTTAATTATCATTTCATATCGGCCAAAAAAAAAATATATTTATACTTAATTAAATTAAATTAAATTAATATTTGTTTTTCCGCAAAATAAATATTCAATGCCATTGTTTTATTAATAATATAATTATATAATTATATACGTAAAAATGAGATGTAATATATTATGATTATGTATGTGTAAATTACTCTGTAATATCTTTTCACCAAGTATTATAGCTGTTATTATATTAAATAAATATTATTAAATATTATCTAATTAATTTTTTTTCCCTAAACAATTATCAAAACTTTTTATAATTTTTTTTTGTCATCTGCAAAAAAAAATTTTCAAATTTCGCGCCAATTTTCAAATTACCAATCCAAGCTAAGAACCATTTCTTCTTACCACCTGTCTGCCTTACCTTCTCCCCTCCACTTCCCCCCATAACTACGCGCTACGCGTGTCTATCGCGGTTATGTTAAGTTTACATTGCCCAAGCGGCTAAGTGAATTTATCCAGTGCTAGTTATTCCAAAAAATCTAACATAAAACCTAAATGTCACTTCAAAATGTCTTCTTCAGACGAGAGTTCAGACAGTACCGAGTACCTGGTGCCATCTTCGAAGATCGACTTATCAAGCTCATTTTTCTCCACTACCGCATCAACATCCAAGTCTAACCCCAAGGTAAGAGCTAGAATAGAATCATCATCTTCCTCAGAAGATGATGAACTTCCCGAAAGTTCCGCGTCGAACGCGGAACTTCTTTTGGAAGTAATGAAGAACCTGGAGAAGATCAACAACCCTGTTGTCCAACCATCCCGAGCACCAGCGCCAGTTCCTGAGTCTTCTAGCCGAGAGTTGTCTTCAGAGATTGCTGATCTTCTGCTGAAGCATGAGAGTGGTCTAGGTTCTTTCAAACTCCCCGACAATGAAGAAGAAGAAATTCCTAAGGAACAGAAACAGGAAAAGGAACAGGTCCAGGTTCAGCACCCAGACTATGAAGTTCCTCAGGAAGGAGTTAACATAACTCTTCCAGGAACTGGAATGCCTAGCTTTAAAAGGAAGAAGAATAAAGTCGACCTGGAAGCCCAGCTGATCAAGAAGATGAACTCCAGGATCAAGGCGAATCAGCTGCTGGTCCACAAGGTATTTATTAATTTTGTTTATATTTAATGAGTCAAAATAATGTTGAAATTTTTTTTTAATTTTAGTCTTCCCAATATTCGTCAAAATTCCTTATTTTAATTTAAAATAATTAAAACAATTAAATAATTGATGATTTTTACTTATTTAATAAAGTAAAGTAATAAAATGACTTTGGTATTTATTACTTGCCGGAATAAATAAACAGATTTGGCAATAGCGCGGTTGATTGTACCCATAACCTGTAGACGTGGATGAGTGTGTGAGTTAGACATTTCTCTCTCTCTGTAACTATATTTCTATCCTTTTGTTTTTTCTCAGCTGTTGACGCGATGTTGTCAAATGTTTATTCGAATAAATGGCTGACGATAAACCAGTTACAAACATTAAATTTGACTTTAAATATTTCAACAAATTATATCGGTAATGTATTTATTATCAAATTGTTTTTATATTTTGCAATAATCCAACGTTTTGCGTGTATAGTTTTTTATCCGTTAAAGTTGGGAGGTTAATATTGACAAAAAATAATTAAAGTCTCGACAAAACGTTTGTCCGCCATAAGAGCCCGTGTATAAGGAGATAAAATATGTGATTTTTAAAATTTAATATCTAAGTAACTAAACGGTGAATCTTTTTTTTAATTTTGGGATTAGATAAATTACGTATTTATTTATACGTATACTTAATTTCAAACAAAGTTGGAAATTATTTTTTACATTAGATTCTTGCTCGAACCTCCTTAAAGAATGGAAGTTGCGAGTGATTTTTCATAAAAAATATAAAATATCTCCGTAATACGTTCGGAAAGCTACTTTTTTTTTGTTTTAATCTTTAGCTTATTATTTTTTCAATCAAATTTTTTTAAAATCGTTAATTCCATTAAATTCTTAACCAAATCCCGGCTGGTGGAATCTCCATTCATGTAAAAATTACAATTTCAAACCTAATTATTTGATTTAAACCCGAAAACCTACTGTTATAATTTTTGACTACATTTTTTTTTTTTACATTTAAAATATATTTATTGATCCTTCATATTTACATATATTAATACAAACTCTGTACAATTCATATATTTTTAATATAATTTAAGTTCATTCATATTTCCTGGCCATTTTTGGCTTTAGCATATATTAAATTTTTCTTTTTTTTTATTCTATTTCAATAATAATAGTTACAATAATTTTTTATAATATAGTTTAGTATCAGCATTTAGGAAAAAATTTTTTAATTAAAAACCTAATCAGATTGGTGTTAATTTGTTAAATTTGACTACTTTGCATGGATCTCCTTAAATACTCAGATTTTAAAATTCTAACTATGAGAGCCGTGGCCACCTAGTGGAATTTTTTAAAACTAACTTTTTAATCCAATTTATTTTTGATTATTAATTTAAAAATTATTTTTTTGATTCAAATTAATTTTTTTCTTCTTTAAAATAATTTTACAAAATAAATAATTGTGACAAAAATTAATTAATTATTTTAATGCAAAAAAATTTTAATTTTAAATTTGCCGCGCACCGAGGTTCTTTTAATTTTAATTAATTATTTATATTCTTAATATTTCTTCAATAAAATTAACCCTAATTCCAACGAGCTTACAAGCTGAGGATTATTATTATCCTGTTACAGGTTGGTCTTCTTTGTTGGCTAGCACACGGCATCCATCTTAACAAGCAGATCAACGACCCAGAGGTTATGTCCACTGTCCTGTCGTTGATCCCCAGTATCAGCTACCCCAAGGGCCGGGTTGACATCAAGTACATCGAGCAGTTCACCAAGTGGTTTCGCGGGGTGATTAAAGTTGAGTTTAATAAGGAGAATGTTCCAGTTACTAAGGAACTTCTTCTTAAGAGGTTAGGTGAGAAGAAGGTTAGGAACTACCGGGAACTTGTTCTGCTTTATATTGCCGCTCTTAGGGCTATTGGGTGTAATTGCAGGCTTGTTTTGTCCCTCTGCCCTCCGCCTATGAAGCCTAAATCCGATCAGCTGATCAAGAGCAAGAAGGAGGGGGAAGGAACTAAGGAACGGGGAGGAGCTAAAGATAAGGAACCGGGGAGAGGGAAGAAATCTGGAGAGGGGGAGGATAAGGAGGATAAAGATGATATTAGGAACACTATGGCTAAGAAATGGAGTGAGAAGAATAAAGGAAGGGGAAGAGGAAGAAAAGGAGGAGTAAGTTCTGTGGTGGGTTTGGTGAGTAATTCTAAAGTTGCCGATAAAATGGCGAAGGAAGAAGCTAAGAAAAAGGCGGCGGAATTGTTGAGGGAGAAATTTGCGAGTAGTAAGGAGAGGGGGGTTAAGAAGTTGAAAAGAAATGATGAGGGGGGTAAGAAAGAGGAGGGGGGAGTTGAGGAAGAGGAGGGGAAGAGGTTGAGGAGTGGGGATAAGAAAGAGGAGGGGGTAGTTAAGGAAGAGAAGGGGAAAAGATTGAGGAGTGGGAAGAGTGAAGATAAGAAAGAGGAGGGGATAATTAAGGAAGAGAAGGGGAAAAGGTTAAGGAGTGGGGATAAGAAGGTGGAGGAGGTGGTTAAGGAAGAGAAGGGGAAAAGGTTGAGGAGAGGAAGAAGTGAAGATAAAATTGTGAAGAAAAGGAGGAGTGAAGAAATGGTGGAGAAGGGGAAGGGGACTTTATCTAGTGTCGGTAAAGAAGAAAATGAAGAAAAGGAAGAGAAAATGGAGACTGAAAGTGAGAGTGAGAATTCGGAGAAGGAGTTTAAGGTTAAGAAGAAACTTGGGGTGGGAAGAAAAAATTTAGAGGCGGTTAAAGAAGAAAGGAGGTTAAGTGAGAAAAGGAGGAAAGTTTTGTCGAGTGATGATGAAGAAGATATTGTTGATGTTAGGGATTCTAGGTATCTTTGGGCGGAGGTTTATGTTGAGGATGAAGAAAGCTGGATTAGTGTTTCTGTACCGGATAATAAAGTTCATTGTGTTGCGGAAATTTTTGTAAGTATTTTTTTTGTTGATTTTTTGTGAAACTGAAATAAGCAGATGTTTGATTAAAAATTTTTTAATTTAAATTATAATTATAATTTTTAATTAAAAATTATTGTAAAAAAAATGTTTTTTTGAATTAGAATTTATATTTTTTTTTTTTTAAATTAAAGTAATTATTTTGTATTATAATTTGAATAGAAATTAAATTAGCTGATATCTAAAAAATTTTATAATTTTTTTTCTTAAAAAAAAATTAAAAGAAAAAAATTTGATATTTAAAAAATTATAAAATATTTGCTGTGTTTAGTACCACAATTATTTTAAAATAATAATTTATGTGAATTTTTTTACAGAAAAAAGCACCATCTCCAGTATTATATGTAGTAGCATGGAATTCTTTGGGAAAATTAAAAGATGTAACGAGACGTTATTGCCGTCATTGGTTAACAGTGACAAGAAAGCAAAGGATTGATCAAGAATGGTGGACAGAAACGTTGTCTCCTTGGATTGAAAGTAACAGTGTGATGTCCAGAGCTGAAGATGAAGCGTTGCTTACTATGTAAGTGATAATTTTAATTGATAATTAATTTTTTAAGAATTAATTGTTGGAATTTTTTCAGGGAATGTTAATTGATAATTGGCTTTTTAAGAATTAATTAATAATTGTTGGAATTTTTTTCAGGGAATTGGAACAGCCTTTACCAGATAGGACTGCAGATTACAAAGGACATCCATTGTACGCACTCGCGCGTCATCTACTGAAATATGAAGCGCTGTACCCGCCAGATTGTCAACCGCTTGGTTATTTGAAGAACGGCGAAGCTATTTATTCTAGGCACTGTGTTCATACTTTGAGAAGTCGGGAGACTTGGCTGAGGGAAGCCAGGGTTGTTAAACCCGCACAAGAAGCTTATAAGATTGTCAAGTCTATGCCGAAGATGGATAAAGTAATTGTTTTTTTTTATATAGATAAATTATTACAAAAAAAATTTTTATTTCTAAAAAACTTTAAAAGCTTTAAGTGCAATTTTTAAAAAATATTTTTTAGTTCTAATTTAATAAATGAAAAAAAAAAAAATTAAAAATATCGGCTAACTTTAGTATTATAAATTAAATTAATATATTAAGAGGGAACACCACTGTGATGGTCGAAAAAAAAGGTGATTTTTGAGAATTTTTTTGACAGGGAAAATAAATGAATTTAGGGATTGGATTTATTAAGAGTACATTAAAGATTATTACCCTAAATTTTTATTAAAAAATATTTAATTATAACAAAGTTATTAGGGTAAATGTTCCAGTAGTTGACCGGGCACCAGTAGTTGACCGCTTTCATAAAAAAGTCCGAAAATTATTATTAACTGTATTTTTTATGACCCTGAAATTTATTTTTAACTATTGTTGAACTTATAATCATTACAATAAATAGGTATTCCAGATTTTATTTAATTTTTAGAACATCGAAAATAATTAATGAAAATTTTTCACCGCATAATCTGACTCAAATCGGTCAAATACTATAGTAGAGTATCCTAGAGGCGACTACATGTTTTAGTTAACAAAAAAGTTTCTATTAGGTTAATCTTGCCAAATTAAATTCTGAAGTAGTCTTTAATAGTTTCTTAACAAATCTCTCAATAAGATTTGACAAAAACAATCAAGTAAATACCAATTCAACGACCGGTCAGATACTGGCATAATAAAACACCGTTGTACCATCAATAAATGACTTCGGTCATCTATTGGAACCTGTGAAGTTAGCAGACGTCTAAAATTTTTTGAATTTTTTTTTTTTTAATTAAATTACAACTAAAAAGATATTTTTAAAAATTGCACTTATAGTTTTTCAATTTTTTAACAATAAGTGATATTTTTTTTTTTTTTAATTGTTTAATTGAAATTTTTTGGATAAAAAAATTTCTAAAAATTTTGAAATGTCAGCTAACTTCATTGCCATCACTGAAGTTAGCAGACGTCTAAAATTTTTTGAATTTTTTTTTTTTTAATTAAATTACAACTAAAAAGATATTTTTAAAAATTGCACTTATAGTTTTTCAATTTTTTAACAATAAGTGATATTTTTTTTTTTTTTAATTGTTTAATTGAAATTTTTTGGATAAAAAAATTTCTAAAAATTTTGAAATGTCAGCTAACTTCATTGCCATCACTGAAGTTAGCAGACGTCTAAAATTTTTTGAATTTTTTTTTTTTTAATTAAATTACAACTAAAAAGATATTTTTAAAAATTGCACTTATAGTTTTTCAATTTTTTAACAATAAGTGATATTTTTTTTTTTTTTAATTGTTTAATTGAAATTTTTTGGATAAAAAAATTTCTAAAAATTTTGAAATGTCAGCTAACTTCATTGCCATCACTGAAGTTAGCAGACGTCTAAAATTTTTTGAATTTTTTTTTTTTTAATTAAATTACAACTAAAAAGATATTTTTAAAAATTGCACTTATAGTTTTTCAATTTTTTAACAATAAGTGATATTTTTTTTTTTTTTAATTGTTTAATTGAAATTTTTTGGATAAAAAAATTTCTAAAAATTTTGAAATGTCAGCTAACTTCATTGCCATCACTGAAGTTAGCAGACGTCTAAAATTTTTTGAATTTTTTTTTTTTTAATTAAATTACAACTAAAAAGATATTTTTAAAAATTGCACTTATAGTTTTTCAATTTTTTAACAATAAGTGATATTTTTTTTTTTTTTAATTGTTTAATTGAAATTTTTTGGATAAAAAAATTTCTAAAAATTTTGAAATGTCAGCTAACTTCATTGCCATCACTGAAGTTAGCAGACGTCTAAAATTTTTTGAATTTTTTTTTTTTTAATTAAATTACAACTAAAAAGATATTTTTAAAAATTGCACTTATAGTTTTTCAATTTTTTAACAATAAGTGATATTTTTTTTTTTTTTAATTGTTTAATTGAAATTTTTTGGATAAAAAAATTTCTAAAAATTTTGAAATGTCAGCTAACTTCATTGCCATCACTGAAGTTAGCAGACGTCTAAAATTTTTTGAATTTTTTTTTTTTTAATTAAATTACAACTAAAAAGATATTTTTAAAAATTGCACTTATAGTTTTTCAATTTTTTAACAATAAGTGATATTTTTTTTTTTTTTAATTGTTTAATTGAAATTTTTTGGATAAAAAAATTTCTAAAAATTTTGAAATGTCAGCTAACTTCATTGCCATCACTGAAGTTAGCAGACGTCTAAAATTTTTTGAATTTTTTTTTTTTTAATTAAATTACAACTAAAAAGATATTTTTAAAAATTGCACTTATAGTTTTTCAATTTTTTAACAATAAGTGATATTTTTTTTTTTTTTAATTGTTTAATTGAAATTTTTTGGATAAAAAAATTTCTAAAAATTTTGAAATGTCAGCTAACTTCATTGCCATCACTGAAGTTAGCAGACGTCTAAAATTTTTTGAATTTTTTTTTTTTTAATTAAATTACAACTAAAAAGATATTTTTAAAAATTGCACTTATAGTTTTTCAATTTTTTAACAATAAGTGATATTTTTTTTTTTTTTAATTGTTTAATTGAAATTTTTTGGATAAAAAAATTTCTAAAAATTTTGAAATGTCAGCTAACTTCATTGCCATCACTGAAGTTAGCAGACGTCTAAAATTTTTTGAATTTTTTTTTTTTTAATTAAATTACAACTAAAAAGATATTTTTAAAAATTGCACTTATAGTTTTTCAATTTTTTAACAATAAGTGATATTTTTTTTTTTTTTAATTGTTTAATTGAAATTTTTTGGATAAAAAAATTTCTAAAAATTTTGAAATGTCAGCTAACTTCATTGCCATCACTGAAGTTAGCAGACGTCTAAAATTTTTTGAATTTTTTTTTTTTTAATTAAATTACAACTAAAAAGATATTTTTAAAAATTGCACTTATAGTTTTTCAATTTTTTAACAATAAGTGATATTTTTTTTTTTTTTAATTGTTTAATTGAAATTTTTTGGATAAAAAAATTTCTAAAAATTTTGAAATGTCAGCTAACTTCATTGCCATCACTGAAGTTAGCAGACGTCTAAAATTTTTTGAATTTTTTTTTTTTTAATTAAATTACAACTAAAAAGATATTTTTAAAAATTGCACTTATAGTTTTTCAATTTTTTAACAATAAGTGATATTTTTTTTTTTTTTAATTGTTTAATTGAAATTTTTTGGATAAAAAAATTTCTAAAAATTTTGAAATGTCAGCTAACTTCATTGCCATCACTGAAGTTAGCAGACGTCTAAAATTTTTTGAATTTTTTTTTTTTTAATTAAATTACAACTAAAAAGATATTTTTAAAAATTGCACTTATAGTTTTTCAATTTTTTAACAATAAGTGATATTTTTTTTTTTTTTAATTGTTTAATTGAAATTTTTTGGATAAAAAAATTTCTAAAAATTTTGAAATGTCAGCTAACTTCATTGCCATCACTGAAGTTAGCAGACGTCTAAAATTTTTTGAATTTTTTTTTTTTTAATTAAATTACAACTAAAAAGATATTTTTAAAAATTGCACTTATAGTTTTTCAATTTTTTAACAATAAGTGATATTTTTTTTTTTTTTAATTGTTTAATTGAAATTTTTTGGATAAAAAAATTTCTAAAAATTTTGAAATGTCAGCTAACTTCATTGCCATCACTGAAGTTAGCAGACGTCTAAAATTTTTTGAATTTTTTTTTTTTTAATTAAATTACAACTAAAAAGATATTTTTAAAAATTGCACTTATAGTTTTTCAATTTTTTAACAATAAGTGATATTTTTTTTTTTTTTAATTGTTTAATTGAAATTTTTTGGATAAAAAAATTTCTAAAAATTTTGAAATGTCAGCTAACTTCATTGCCATCACTGAAGTTAGCAGACGTCTAAAATTTTTTGAATTTTTTTTTTTTTAATTAAATTACAACTAAAAAGATATTTTTAAAAATTGCACTTATAGTTTTTCAATTTTTTAACAATAAGTGATATTTTTTTTTTTTTTAATTGTTTAATTGAAATTTTTTGGATAAAAAAATTTCTAAAAATTTTGAAATGTCAGCTAACTTCATTGCCATCACTGAAGTTAGCAGACGTCTAAAATTTTTTGAATTTTTTTTTTTTTAATTAAATTACAACTAAAAAGATATTTTTAAAAATTGCACTTATAGTTTTTCAATTTTTTAACAATAAGTGATATTTTTTTTTTTTTTAATTGTTTAATTGAAATTTTTTGGATAAAAAAATTTCTAAAAATTTTGAAATGTCAGCTAACTTCATTGCCATCACTGAAGTTAGCAGACGTCTAAAATTTTTTGAATTTTTTTTTTTTTAATTAAATTACAACTAAAAAGATATTTTTAAAAATTGCACTTATAGTTTTTCAATTTTTTAACAATAAGTGATATTTTTTTTTTTTTTAATTGTTTAATTGAAATTTTTTGGATAAAAAAATTTCTAAAAATTTTGAAATGTCAGCTAACTTCATTGCCATCACTGAAGTTAGCAGACGTCTAAAATTTTTTGAATTTTTTTTTTTTTAATTAAATTACAACTAAAAAGATATTTTTAAAAATTGCACTTATAGTTTTTCAATTTTTTAACAATAAGTGATATTTTTTTTTTTTTTAATTGTTTAATTGAAATTTTTTGGATAAAAAAATTTCTAAAAATTTTGAAATGTCAGCTAACTTCATTGCCATCACTGAAGTTAGCAGACGTCTAAAATTTTTTGAATTTTTTTTTTTTTAATTAAATTACAACTAAAAAGATATTTTTAAAAATTGCACTTATAGTTTTTCAATTTTTTAACAATAAGTGATATTTTTTTTTTTTTTAATTGTTTAATTGAAATTTTTTGGATAAAAAAATTTCTAAAAATTTTGAAATGTCAGCTAACTTCATTGCCATCACTGAAGTTAGCAGACGTCTAAAATTTTTTGAATTTTTTTTTTTTTAATTAAATTACAACTAAAAAGATATTTTTAAAAATTGCACTTATAGTTTTTCAATTTTTTAACAATAAGTGATATTTTTTTTTTTTTTAATTGTTTAATTGAAATTTTTTGGATAAAAAAATTTCTAAAAATTTTGAAATGTCAGCTAACTTCATTGCCATCACTGAAGTTAGCAGACGTCTAAAATTTTTTGAATTTTTTTTTTTTTAATTAAATTACAACTAAAAAGATATTTTTAAAAATTGCACTTATAGTTTTTCAATTTTTTAACAATAAGTGATATTTTTTTTTTTTTTAATTGTTTAATTGAAATTTTTTGGATAAAAAAATTTCTAAAAATTTTGAAATGTCAGCTAACTTCATTGCCATCACTGAAGTTAGCAGACGTCTAAAATTTTTTGAATTTTTTTTTTTTTAATTAAATTACAACTAAAAAGATATTTTTAAAAATTGCACTTATAGTTTTTCAATTTTTTAACAATAAGTGATATTTTTTTTTTTTTTAATTGTTTAATTGAAATTTTTTGGATAAAAAAATTTCTAAAAATTTTGAAATGTCAGCTAACTTCATTGCCATCACTGAAGTTAGCAGACGTCTAAAATTTTTTGAATTTTTTTTTTTTTAATTAAATTACAACTAAAAAGATATTTTTAAAAATTGCACTTATAGTTTTTCAATTTTTTAACAATAAGTGATATTTTTTTTTTTTTTAATTGTTTAATTGAAATTTTTTGGATAAAAAA